GAAAGCCGCGCGTCTAATTTAAGTTTGCGCGATTAATATAACTCGAATCCTTCGATATTAATACACTTGTATAAATCCCTTAGATCGAGGACTAAGGTTTACGAGTAAGCAAAAGTATTGATTGTATGACTTACTCGGCCTATACCGAGCTTACGCCGAAGCCTAAGTATATAATACCTAGCCGCCGTACGAGTCCCTGAAGAGCTAAGCGAAACAGTTTGATTCTTTGCAACTGACTGTCGGACTCTTACTCTTTTTGATTTCAATCTGCCTTCTAGCTACTCCTTAACCTTAACCTTTCATTGATTGTTTGCACTTAATCTAACCATGCTTTCCACCGTTGTCTCTATCTAGGCACTTACCGCTAAATACAACGCCGACAACGTAGCGGTTGCGGGCTTTATCGACGAGCTTGCAGCTTGCGTTCTCCGCCCTTTTCAAGCCCACTTTCGCTTGATCTTCAAAGAGTGGTTCGACATCGGCGTGAAAGTCTTACACTGCTCTCACGCTATTGGTTCGCTTAAGGAACACCTCTCTGTCTACACCCTTCCCCTTTCCATTTAAGATGCGCTAAAAGTGCTAGCAGTTCAAGTGTCTAAAGAGTTCAAAGGAACAGACTCGTAGAACGCATAGGAAGCAAGTCTTATTACCGCTACCTTTAAATACCGTCTCAAGGTATATAAAAAGTATATCGCGGTTAAAGAATAAAAGCTTAAGCATCTCGAATCCTTAGCCGACGATAAAGCAGCTGAGACTGCAAAAGAACTTACGATTAAAAAGGTCACCGAATCACTCGGCCTTTCTTTTTCAAGTACAGCAAACAAATCGAACGATTATCTTAAAGATGAGACTCGTACGTGCTCGCAACTAGGTGTGACTTGGCTCCGAAGGTCTTTTAGCCTCGGACTAATGAAACATCAAAATAAGCTTGCCGTAAAGCTGAGTAAGCTGAAGCTTAAAAAGGATACGGATACTTATATAAGCAATTATAGGGCAAACGATATCACTCGCGTAGTTGAGCTCGCGGTTGCCAAGGCCTTGAACAAGTCTAGTAAAGCGAAAAGCGCACCTCCGAAAGGTAAGTCCTTTAGTCTCCGCATTAAGGTCTTAACTAATTCAAGAGATAAGTGCTAAAAAGTCCAACCCCAAGCCGAACAAGGCCAAGGGTAGCCCTAAACCAAAGAAACCCTAACTAAACTCAAGGAAGGGAAGAAAAGGAAATAAGAGTAGAAAGAAGAAACCAAAGAAGAATTAGCGGGATTAGATAATCAGCTAGCTTCTCAATCAAAACAATTTCGATTGAATGATTTGTCTTCTTACCTTCGCACGTAGTTTGAAAAACCCGTAGATATTAAAGCCCAATAGTTACTACCCTATAGTAAACCTGAATATCTTGATAGTATTTCAAGTACTCAATCAGATATATTTTAAAGGCTTAACGTATTTCTCTTAGAAAATATACGGCAAACGCTATTATTAAACGGGAAATTTATTTTACACGATAAAATAAGACCACAACTAGT